CTGTCAGTCTGTTGTTGTTATCGTTCGTCGTCGCGTCGCTCTCGCACGCCGCCGCAGTTCTGCGGTGCGTCGCACCAAAACGCCACGTTCTTGACGCGAATAACCTGCCGGCATTTTTCTTCCCACTCGACATACTCGTAATATTTTACATTGTTTGCAACATTATTTCAATATTTCGATTGATTTGAACGTGCTACGGGTCAAAACGCGTACCCGACCGCAGCATCAATAACATAATATCACATTATTATAACATTGTAATAATCGTCATTTGAAAGCCGCGACACCAAACAATACTGTCGCCGCTGTACCGCTGCTGCAGTCTGCAATACACACGGCCGCTGTACACGCTGCTCTACCGCTGCCGCTCCTATAGCGTGCTATAGCATTATCATTACCCACGAGTTATCAACACCCACGTAAACACGGAACCCTGTCCGTTCGGTGGGTCCCCCCTTTTCCCCGTAGCCGTCTACGCAGCTCCTCCTCCTCCTCCACCACCGCCGCAACACCATCACCATCACCATCCGGTTCACCACCATCCTACTCATCACCAACACCACCACCACCAACACCAGCAACAACACCAACAGTCCGTGGTCACTGTCTGCCACCAGACTCCTAAAAACATGGTACGTAATGGACAACGACAATATTTAAATTACACTATGAATATTATGATATTGGTAAGACGACGGTATGCAATCGCGTCGCAAGTCTGTCGTCGTTCGGTAGACAGTCAAGCGCGCGTGTTTTCGCGTAATTTTTGCGTAATTTTGTTCTGCGTCGGTGACTGATGTTTTTTTTTTTTTTTTTAAAGACAAAAAATATATGCTTTTTATGAATCTCTTTGCCTGTATAGTTGAGTGTAACGAGTTCGGCCGTATGCATACTTACATTTTTATTTTACTTTTTTTTTTTTTTTTATTGTTCGAAACAAATATAATTTCTTACCCGTTTTTACCGCGTAAAATCACTTTCCGCACAGATAGCAGCACGGACCACACCGCGAAAACGACGAATATATGTTTTTTATTTTTGTTTTTCCCCTTTTTCGGTCCCCGGACAATTTGATATAATTTATCGCTCCGTCCACCGATCCCTATCCACCGTTACATCCACCTTCCGCTCCGCCACAACCGTTTTGTTTCCCGGTTGGAGCCCAGCGTATACAGTCCATAGGGCTGAACCCAGAGCGTTTCGGGATATCCGATTTAAATGCGAAATGTTTTCCACCCCCACCACCCAACATTCACTACACAACACCCCATGCCGATCCTCCACCACCACCCACCTAAACGTAGCGTCCCCTTCCACTTCTACCCATGCCACGCCACTAAACAACGCTACTGAATCACCCACCGTCGAGCGATATTGTGGTCGACGGGCGTAATCACGGGACCATAATAATACAAGATTCCTCTCTCGCGTTAATATATATTATAATATTATATTATATGCATGCCGATTAATTATTATTATTATTATCGCTATTCCATACTCGAACAAAATATTATATCCGCTTATATTATGATACAATGTACATTGATCTAATGTTCTACAACGAGTCTATTGTGTTATAATAATAAAAATATAATATCTGTAATTTGTTATTGTTTTTATTGTTTTTTTATGTGTCATTTTACTTTTTATTATTAATCACACAGATACGCAGTTATGCATATTATATATAAATATTAAATATATATAATTTGGACCACAAGTCTAATAACATCGTGTTATATTATTTATTGCACGTGTAAACAGTTATTGTATAACTGTTATGTAACTACATAATAATATTATAGCTAATAGGTGGGATACTACGTTTATAAAAACTAAATTTTATTTTATATTGAAACGTCATATTATAAACTATGTTATTTTATTATTAGGTATGTAATATACATATTACATACTGCATATTATATAATAATAATAATATTTATAAATACATGGATATAGGTATACTGAGTGTTGTTGTTTTGAAATACTGATGGACGCGCGCTTTAAATGCCGTAGATTTATTTATGACCGTGTCCCTCTCGGATGGCTCTATAAAATATTTAAACGGAATCGTATTTTCGAGAAATGATTTAAAAACTCTCGAAATCTAATGAATATTATATTATAATAAAGTTGGTCAAAATCTCGTTGCTTAATTTTTAATTTTTTTTTTTTTTTTTAACATTTTTGATATTATTATATTATACCTACTTGGTTGAGAGGATTTGGTTGGATTACATTTTTGAAATATAAATGATCGGCCTCGTTAAAATCCACTTATATAGAGATAAAAACTTGACCAATTGGAAATGGCGTGATTTTTAATGCTGTCAAAACTATATAAAAGTACCCTTTACGGTGGTAATTATGACACATATTTGTTTATCACTTTGGAAAAAAAATATCAATCGATAAAATAAAATTTTTTTTTATATTATGCTTGCTTAAACGTGCCTTTATAATCATTTATGCGTATGTTTTAAATGATATATATTTAAAACTTAGAGTACCTTCTAATAGGTAATAATTTTTCAATCACAAGTATACGTAGGAATTACGAATTGCTTAAGTATTTATTTTATTTTTCTTGAGATAAAATATAATTTAAACACAATATTCACATGCACATCATACAATATTAAAATATAATAATATCGTAATGGTTTTATATTTTGTTCAACTTAACGTAGTAGTGTTATTAATAGGTAATGGTAAATTATGTGCATCAATGTTAGTATGACGTATAAAAAAAAAAGGATTTATCAACAAGAAAGTTGATGCGAATTGCTTTTTTTTATACTTTTCACAAAAACACAGAATGGATGGTCATTTTGAAGTATCTTTTTATACCAAGTATCATTAGTCAATTTATATCTTTAGGCCACTGCCCACTTATAATTTGTTTTGTACACACATAGCGAGTTTAGTTCTCTCTTCAAGTTTTAATTCAATATATCTAATATAAAATATGGAATCCTGTTTATGTTTAGTGTTAGACTAATACACTTACAGTATATTCATCGTAGTATTATATCCTTAATGGTTTTTCCACTAAGTTTAACAATTTATTCAGGTCTAACCTAACCTCTATTATGACTTAATTTTAATCCTAAATAAAATATATTTACCTTTATATTATTTTTAAAAAATATACCTAAAATATTATATTTGATAACTTATCTATTTGTTTTTAGAAGCTATAAATTATGATATATTTACGTAATTAAATTATTTTTGGGAGAATAATATTTAAAATGTTTATATAAAAACTATATTATAGGTTAAATTACAAAGAAAAAAAAAAATGTATTGTAATTTATAATTTTACCTATCGTATATAAAATCGTATTTAATATCATATAATAAATTTCAGATGGTGACTCGAACGAAAAAAATCTTTGTCGGTGGTTTGTCGGCGCCAACAACATTAGAAGACGTCAAAAACTACTTTGAACAATTTGGACCGGTAAGTTTGTAGTTAACTTATTTGATGGATAGATAAAAGAGAAATTATTTACTTTAAAAAAACTTTATCTAACTTAGTAGATTCTAATAAGTAATAATATATAGATGTTTAAACTTAAGCCTAAACATTAAACGATAGTAAGATAAAACTCCCCATTTGTAATCTCTTACACTCAGGTTATTCGCTGTGCCCGTATACAACTTTATTTAAAAAGTAATGTGCGATGTTGATGTCAAACGCGTCACGAAAGTATTCATGGTTTTAGTTTTAAATAATTGTTCACCGTCAATGCTTGTTCTTTGCAGTTCGATTTTTCGATATTACTTCTGGAGTAAACTAACAATATGTATAACATGTACAAACTTTTCGTAAAAAAGTATTCTCATAACATTAAAATTAAAAATGGTTACCAAATTTGAACAGAGCACACGAAAAACCTGTTAAATATATTAAACAAGAAACAGTGCTCAGTTATTTGATTCGGTAATACTGCCCCAAAATGATCGGAGACTGGAGAGTTTTTTTTCTCGAAGTTATAATGTATTATGTGTGTGCATATACATAATCTAATGCATGCGTAAGCATATAGGTAGTACGTATAGTGTATATATATATATATATTTAATATTAATATATGGTTGGGTTAACCTATCTACAACCCGAATGAAGACCAAATCCCAGCGATGGCGATAATCATATATATTATATAAAATTAATAACTGTGATATATTATGCAAATCCATATGCATTATATATACCTATGGATAATATATACTTAGATTTTTGGGGGCGCAAAAAACATGTATGGCATACCTGCAATATTATACAGCGTTATTATATTATTATATTACAATACACCGTGCGTGCTAAAGCGTTTTCGAGGAAAAAAAACGAAATCCACTACAGATGACGATGACGATAATGTATAATACTCCGATGATATTATCGTAGATGAACGAGAAAGTATAATAATAATAAATTTTAAAAGCGAAAATATAGACCTAAATACTCCCTGGCGCATGTGTATAATAAACTATATATAATATTTTATTTGTATGTGTCACGTCACTGCGGACTGCGTTTGCATTATTTTTAAACGTCGGGAATTTGAATAAGTTAAATTTAACTTACCTCTAAATCAAACAAATCGTGTGAAATAAATATTTATAAATTCCGAATAATACTTGCTGTACTGAAAATATAGAATATTATAATGATTTATATTTTAGCTATCCACCTTTTTTTTCTCAACATAACTCTACCTTGCTTTTACGGATCTATAAACTAAATATGCCTGCCCTTCATTGAAAATTCCTAAGCCCACTTCTACGTGCTGCATACACATATCCGTATGTGCTGTTATACCAACCAATATACTTACATCATAGTATAAAATACTTGTACACGCTTGCAGAATATACGTGTTTGTGCGCAATGTATTCGAGCACCTGGAACGCATTACAGAACGGTTTTCTCGGTCGTGTCTCGCACTAACCGTTTTTTATTGCCGCTCAGGTTTTTGGACACGCTACCGCCGCGGCCGAGAGGAAGATAATCCGCGGCGGCGGCGGCGGCAGCATCCCTCGGAGGAATTGCCCGTCGGAGTCGTAAAATAGGTCGGCCAAACTGCTGCGGGAGCGATGGCCGAGGGATTGAATGACGGTGGGGTGGACGTGGAGAAGTAGTGGCGCAAAGGCGCAGGGGGAATATTTATTTATATATATATATACACTATAGGTGTGTACTGTGTGTACATTATATATACTATACGTTGAGAGCGAAAAAGAGAGAGAGAGATGCATAAGCCCAACAAGAAACTGTTATAAATCGATTATTATGTGGTGTCAGCTGAATGAAAGTGGCAAGAAAGATATATATATATATTATATGTATACATGGGTATATGTACGTGCAGTACAAAAGTATAGGTAAATTATATAGTGGAAGAGGAACAAAAATCCCGGACGGTAATTTCTATGCACTGGGGAAATTACGGACGGAGAAAAATTATTTTAAATGACTTTTCCCGTGCGTTTTCTCTAGCCATTTGTACTATTGTATATTATATACGCATTCTCTTTTTCTATAGTTATATATATATTTATATATATATATATATTTATATATATATATATATTTTATAATATATAGATACATAATATATCGTATGGCCTATTATTATATGTTTTTGAAAAAAAAATGTTTTAATGTTTTCCAAAGCTTGTATGAGTTCATTTTCCAAAACGACCGTTCTGCAAATACGAAACGTATATCACCAGGAATTTCAGATTGCAATAATAATATAATTTATATTATGATAGATGCAGATTTTTCTGATAATATCATCAGAGATTTAACAGAATTTATTTTTTAATGATTCCGACACAATTTATTACATATTTCTTAAATTTAAAAATTAACCATTATTTGTAGAAATACATTAGTTATTTTATGCATAAAATGGTAACAATTTCGAAGGGTAAAATGGTTACAAATGGTGATTATGTTATCCTAGTCATGACTCCTGGCATTATATACAGTCTCTTAGGTACCTCCTATGTCCGTTGCGTGATCTAATCAAAATTAACACAGATATCACCACTTCCAATTTCAATGTCAAGTTCTGTTTAATTTTCGGAAACAACGATTTTATTGTAGTAAATTGAGATGTAATTTAATTTCACTTACACGAACAACTTAATCAACCCTATACCATTATAATACCGATTCTGCAAAATACTAGTCGATTTAAATAAAATCAAATCTAAAAAGCTTTTTAACACGTTGTAGCTATACGTATAGAAGCTAGACATGATCGTTAATGAACCATATAGGTGTTGACCAAAATGTGGTTTATGTTTTATAATAATTAAATATAAATGTATGATTTATGAGATATAATATCGAGAATAAATGATTTACGTACATATAGTCAGTGATCAGCTGTGTAAGTAATATTTAATATACACTTCAATGACCTTTTAATTGAAAAAGAATATGCTATTCATTAAAATTCACTATGTTACAATATATAATATTCGCATATTATTAGAAGCTTTTATTGTAGTTTTAAATAATAATATATTTTTTTAAATCGCTTCATGAAGATAGGTGATCGTATACACTCACGTTTCAACTATATATAATTCGAAAAATTGAAATATTATGTATAATTTACTACTTAGTTATTATTTGCTTAATTCGCACTTTTCTTATACAACACACGGCCTAAATACAATTATTATGAGTTTTTGAAGAGAAAATGTATAAAAATATTTTATTAAATTACATAATAATATGTGCATGGAGTTTCAAGAGAATAGCTTAATATTAAATTATATGTAATGTAATGAATTTACGAGTAATTCAAAAAAAAAAAGTAAAAATAAAAACGGAAACCTGTGAAAACGGAATATTTGTTTTGGTCCCAATGGAATCCGTCTTAGATAAACTTTGAATAAAGTTTTTTTTTTAAATATTATATAGCAAGGGCGGCCAAATAGTCGATCGCAAACGATTTCGAAGTCGATCGTGTTAGAATTTATTTTAGGCTATGCACACGAAAATTAATATAGTGGTATAGTAATTTAATTATAAAAAAAATTTTTTATCGAAGTCAATCCTCAAAAAAGAAGTATATTTTTAGAAGATCGCGGCCAAAAAAAGTTTGGCCGTCCCTGTTATATAGTTTTTATATAATAATTATTAGTCAGTATATATTAATATACACCATAATATAATATAATATAATATATTAAATTGTATATAATTATAAAAATAATGTCTTTTTTAAGGTTGTGCATATCTATAGTTTAAATGTTATTAGGTCGTTTGCTTTAGAATGCATTTTCAATAATAATTTCAGAGTTTAATCCGTGTTTGCAGATTGCGTGTGTCGATGTATATATCTACATATTATTATAGTACATACCATATAATATTTTAACGCGCATGTGTGTCGTTCAACCGTAGTGATTTAATATTATCATAGGTAAACGATGTAATAATGTTATACGCTGCAGCAGCAGTTTTATCATATATTATTATTATTATTATTATTATTATTATTATTATTATTATTATTACACTATAATATAATTTATATAAGAGACAATATGATGTGCAGAGTGCAGCAGTGCAATTTTAGTCATTATCATATAGGTATACCCGGAGTTGCTGCAGTCGTAGACGTCACAGCATGATGATGTATATTGTATATTATAATATTATGACTGTACGACTACATCTGCAGCACTCGCAAACGGGTGCAGAGATCGGTTGGGTTTCCCGCAATGCCTATACGCACTGCGGAGCAGCAGTTAATTGAAAAGTTTTCACTCGCTGGTCATCGTCGTCGTATACATTATAATATATATTATACGATATTATACATGTATGATGTATATTTATGTACATATATAATATAATAAAAGCGTATGTGTGTGTAGGATTGAGCGCGCGTCGCTGAAGACGAAATAATTATCCGACGGTCGGACGGACCGCGTTTCTCTATGACGGTTACTCGTGAGACCACTGCAACGTGTGGTGACCGTGAGGGTCGTTGGGGCGGACGGGTCTCGACTCGGGGGACCGTACGGAGGTTCTCGGAACGGTTTATGTAGTTTCATTTGTCACGTCCGGAAATCGACGAGCGACGGGTCTCGAAAAGTTTCGTTTGGTACCTACCTATAATGTATATACGTCCGTTCGTCCTGCAGCCCACCCGGACCAGAAAATCATACTATACGGCCTGCAGACATTTTGTGTGCAATGCGATGATTATGTCGCACGAAATAAAATAATATTTCACACTGATTCACTGCTGCTTCTACCGCGATTAGCTGTTTAAACCGTGGATTTTCTTCGGCTCGGGAAATTTGTACGCCTACAGCCCAGTCACGAAATAATAAATATGCGAATATTTTATCGCGTTAACATTGTTTTTGCACGTCATGTATATACGTCATATTACAGCGCATTATTATGTAATAACAATAGTG